ACCAACATGAAGAAAATGTTTAGAAATTTCCACCTGATTGTTTTTACAGGGAGTATTCTCCCTTCAGCATAGGAGATGAAAAAACCAAAAGGGTTTATTTTTTTACTTAGAGTTACTTACCTTGTCAAGTTTGATATTGTGCTAGTAAAATTTCAGTACGGCAATATCTCTTAAGTGTAGGCTTCGCAATTCTAATGTTCCGAGTTCGACCCCACTTTCAAATTTCAGACATTTGTTTCTGTAAAGTGTATGGCAACATGTGCTTTTTATGGAACTTTAGTTTTTTGGAATGGGACTTGTACGAATAATTCACGATAATGTTATGGTAATAATGTAAGTTGGCAACATTGACTTCAAGGCACTATATGTTCTGCTTTACAATTTCTCATGGTAATGAGAGCTACTTATATCTACTGATTATTTGACTTCTATTATTTACCTGCTATACAAACAAGTATATGTAATCAAATGATCTGTAGGAACAGTAGTTTGAATGAATCACCTTTGTCCACATTTGGGACAATAGAAATACATAGAAATTAAGTTGTCGACAGGGTTATTTCCCGTAATTTTGTCATTAGGATTTTACTATCTACCCGGCCATAATGATCACTAAATAAGTTATAGAAGATGTAGTTGGTGAATGACAATCAACTCCAATGGCTAAAAAAGTCTTTCAAAGGACTTTAAGTAACATAATCAACAGGAAACCTTAAACATTCTTGTTTGAAAAGAAATTACAAAAACTTATTCTACTATGGAAACGATGTAATTACCAAAACCTTTTCACCAAGTCATGTTCCTGGTAAACTAAGTTTTTCTTTATATTGACATTTCAGTGGTACATGTATTACCAAACCCTTTAGCCATGCCATGTCAGTAGAGATAAAAGTCTTCCTCGTCATGAAGTATGTGAATCCTTAGAGACTTAAATGAACTTCAACATTACAACCCAGACAAAATGTTTAAATATTTTCTTTTTTATATCAAACTCAATTTACAATTAACGTATTCTAGTACTAAAGATTCCCCCTACGCCATTGCCTTACCGGTACACAAGACTAAAATGACGTGATGTATTAAGGGTTCAAATCAATTTTACGAAACAAAAAAACTTATTTGGCAAAATTATACTCCCTTGCTTCCGGAAGCTTTATTGGATTGTAAAGTGGAAGACGATTCAACTTGATTATCATCCTAATTGTCGGTGTAAAATAGGAGTTGACATACGGGTCATGTAGAAATCTTTTCACGACACATTAGGGAGCCGGTAGTCACAAGATTGCCGTGGGCTTATAATTGGCGAATCACAAGACGAGATTGTATTGACTCCATTTTATTTCAATCATGACATTTCTTATTGTTAAAGCGTTTTTCAATTTGTTCAACTTTTTTTTAATACTCCAGGATGTTCAAAATGGTTTGAGCCCTATCTGATTTTGTCATTGTATTTAATTTAGTATATTGGGTTTAGCGTACTATAACAGCTGGGTTCATTTATGGTCGTGCATCCTTGTAGGCACTGTGGGCGTGCTCGAAGCTGTATATGACATGTAAAGTATTTGCCTAATTGCGACAGCATGGATCTGATACCAATTTTTGAGTGCTACCTCACATTATACTGACGATTGGTCAGCCAGTTTTTGACGCTAACCATTAAAGCAGAACGTCAAGGAGACAGCAACATGTACCAATATTGAGGACACACCAACAAACCTCCTTTCTAAGGCGAGAGGTCATATCAAAGCAAGGAGCGAAAGCTCTGGATAGTGAAAAGGTGGTAAGAGAAGAGAGAAAGGACAAAGATTCTCAAATATTTCAATAAGTGCAGCAGATTAATTTAAGTCGTTGTCATGACCGCAAGTACAGAGCACAAAAGCAAATCTCCAATGCTGCCAGGTGTTCCCACATATGCTGCTTCTTACAACATGCACTAGCTATCAACAAGCATTTGCTTATCTTAAATTCCCAACCGGCTTTGGACACTGATATACATTCCTAGATTTTACAGGACAGTTAATATAAGGATCCCAGATATGGTGGGAGAGCGCTTACTCCTCTTTGCCATAGCGTTGCCATAGTTTAGCTGTGCCTCCGCGATTGTCTTTGAGGGGCTTTTTAGTCACGAAACCTGTATTTCAATATTAAAAAATGTACCACAAAGGATAACAACACTTAGTTCAATAAAGAAATTTGCAATTCAGTAAATATAAACAATACGACAATACGACCAATACGACAATACGGTTGCTACTCAGTAGATATTATTTAGCTAAGTAAAGGGAATTACTTTAAGATGCGTTCTGGTGATTGTTAAAATACTTAGCTATGCATAGCCTCTGTCTGTTACATTTTCAATTAACTTTGCGTTATGATTTTGTCCTTGTATGTTCAAGCTGCGGATGATTGTTTTGCCTTTTGTGTATACGTGTTCGATAGGTGTTGCATTTGTAGCATTTTTTGTCGTTTTGGTGTTAACGTTATGACATAATTTTCATGCTGTGTTAACGAGGTGGTATTTTTTATGTGTTGAATTTGCTGTTATTTTTTAAGTTTCCGTTACCGCAGTAATATTGTAAGTTGTGTTATATTTTGCCATGTTGAGTAAACACTGTGAGTTTTTTTCCGTACGTGTTCACGGTGTGGTATATGTTATTCATTTTGGTTGACGCTGTGGTATTGTAATGTGCGGGCGGTCACCAATCACCTACTGATCACTCTCCACGTTGCTGGACTAGTGAGCGAGTCCCCGGGTTATACCGCATCACTGAAAAAGCTAGCCTGCCAGAGAGACAGTATTTTACCCTCATATTCCTTAGCTGTTACAGTATATTTTACGTTTGCATATTGACGCTGCAGTATATGCTGTTCCTTTTTGTTGACGCTTTGGTATATTTTTACTTTGTATGTTGACGTTGCAATATGCTGTTCCTTTCTGTTGACGCTATGGAATATTTTAACTTGGAAGTTGACGCTGAAGTATATGCTGTTCCTTTTTGTTGACGTTGTGGTATATTTTAACTGTGTATGTTGACGCTGAAGTAGATGCTGTTCCTTTCTACAGACGCTATGGTATATTTTAACTTTGTGTGTTGATGCTGTAGTAAATGCTGTTCTTTTCTGTTGACGCTGTGGCACGTTTTCTGCTTTAACGCCTTGTAAACGTTTAACTTGCACTTCTGTTGTGAGGTATGGTTTCATTGCTCTTTGTATTTTGACGCTAGATTTTTTTTCGTTCTTGCGTATTAATGCTGTTGGGCATATTTTTACTTCTGTTGTTTAATCAGCTGTCTTTTTGAAGCGCTGATGCCGGTACGCGCATTACCTTGTTCTGCCATAAAAAGTAAATTGCTCTTCTGGTTTACTGTGCCAACAAGAGTTAATCCGATTTTTAGACGACCTATTTCCTTACTTACACGATCATAATGAGAAATGTGATTTTTTCTAATCTTTTCTCTAAGGATTAAATGCTAGCTTGTAAGTTTGAGATGCGTTTTGAGGTCTGAAACGACTGGAGACTAGATTAAGCATGTAATACAGTGTATTTGATATTTTCGAAAAGTGTTTCTGCAAAGGTTTAATAGAGACAGTATTATGAAATTGAAAATTGCATATGAAAACATTCTGAAACACAATACGACCAGGTAAATAACTTCAATGTTGGAATTTTTTGCTTGTTAAAATGTTTGCTTTGTGACTCTTTAAACTAATCGCGTTGAAACCTTCGCGTTGTAAATTATTCTGAAATCTACATAATATTATTCTTTATTTCTATAATTCTATAGTCAATAAACCTATATACGTGGATATTTTTGCAAGAATTTACTCAAAGCGAAAATCATGGGCATATCAACACCCGAGAAAATGTCTACTTTTTCCTTTTTTTAAAAAAAAAGAAATATTTCATAATATGTTTCCCTTATCAATTTAAGGTTATTTAATCGTAAACTAATTAATTATATGTATGTAGCTCAAAAAGTCTTTTATCCGGCAAGTCTTTTTTTATATATCCTGAATACTGAATCCGTTTGACACTTACCATTGGTTACTGCAAGTGGTACGTAAAGCCCTTCTGAAGGCGCATGGATTAACCTCTAGTTTTGTAGAATTCGTGTGATTTGCCTATTTTTGCTTTATCGTTTCCTTGGTTACTATTGTTGTCTTATTGTTTCGAAAGAAAAAACCCATTAAACAACGAGCTAGTTCGACGACCCAGATTTAGTACCTGTGGTTGAAGGCCAGATGCAGGGATTAAGCAATTTCGAATATTGTGACGTTGTGAGTGATATCAATTTTATCATGAATAGGGTTTAATTGTACAGTGTATAAAGTAGGCATAACCTACAGCTTCAAAGACCTCTCCTTGATTAATTAATAGAGCCACTTCATCTACCTTATGTCATTTCAATGATATGACACTTTAAAGAGGCCCCTAAGTATTCCAATCAATGGACGCCATCTTCGTGAGCTATTTAATTGCGAGGACGTAAAACCCTTAACAAGCAATGTTACTTTACTTTGACATGCCTACACGAACCACTCGTTGCAATCAGTAAACTTATTAACCTTGATTCTAGCACAAATTACAGAGAAAAAAGTGAATCCTGTCCATTCCGTCACATGTATATTCTGACACACTTTAAAATCAAACATGATGATGCAATACCGTTTCTATAAAACAATTTCAAATATAATGTTTATAAGTTTCCCGACAACCTGTCTATTCCGACCTATTATATGTCACACGCTTGAGTTTTCCCAGTCATGTTTTATTTATTCGGAGTCTCTCCAATAGCATGTGCAACAGACAACGTAAAAGAGTTCCGAGTAACTGAAACAGATGACAACAAGGGCAATAACTGTATAATACTAGTTAGTTCTGATGTATAGATATTATAGTTTTAAGCTTGAAATAATATTAAAGTATATACCTTTAGTCATTTAATAATTTCTCAAATATTCGACATGTACTTTTGTTTAACTCGGTGTTGTATTTTTAGTTTTACAGGTCGTCAGTTCGCATGTGTGTATCAACAATATGGATTTTACTAAACCGTTATTGATGAACCATATTGCTGACCTGTGCCAATTCTAATCAAGATGGCGGACAACAGCGCCCCATTGAAGAACATCGCGGGACCCGAGAACAACACTTCGAGTGGAAATTACTCAGTGTTTCATGAACCAGATTTAACACTACTCGAGTCAATAAGACAATGTCAAGAAAGTTCTGCCAAGATCGAGTTACATGCAGGTGAGTAGATGTTTTGTTTAATATTCAAATACAATTTCTTGTTGTGGTTGTATTTCAGATGGTTTTAAATCAATTGGAAACTAAAATTGTCTTTGTCAACCGAATAACAGCAACAGATATAACACGTGAATGTTTTTGTCCAAACTATTTGGGTATTTCATTCATACTCTATTGGTAATCGGGGAACAGTTATGAGGTGACGTCAAATTTTAATTATGACGGAAATTTCTGAATGGTTTCCGATACAAGTTCGTCGCGAAACAGAACTGATAACCATAAAAAAGCAAGTCTTTGATTTTCCCAGAAAATGACCGTTTCACATTTGATAAAGCAGTTATAGTTTAATTTGTATCATCAGCAGTTTAAAAAAATCACAAAAATATTTTTATTTTGTAAATAAAAGGATTGAAAGCTATCTTTTTAACACTGAAGGAGCGGGTATGATACCAGGTGTCATAGAGTATCTTTTAACGGAACTGTTATACATACCTTAATAAGTGTTCAGAAGTTCCGTTCCAATTCTTACATGTAACTAAAATATATATAGGAGAGTTCATTGTTTCAAAGAATCTGGTTAACTTAGCTTCGCTGCCTATTTTCATGATGGATATTTGAAGCCGACTCCATCGATTATAGAAATTTTCAGAATCAATAGCCAAGTACTATGCTCGTGGAAAATGATATTAATATTACAGACAATTTTGGTTATGTTTGATTATTAAATGGTGAACTGGACGTGGCGTTTTGTAGATTTACAATGTTGACCTTGCTAACGACCTTGAGGGATGACTTGAATATCAGTCTCGGCGTCCCATTAACCGTAAATGTATCGAGTAATAGGCTTTATAGAAAACCCTTCAGCCTAGCCAACACTGGGTAATAGAAGCAATGCTCACTTTGGCAGCGTTGGCGCTCTCCACTGGACGAAGTGGACGATAACACTAGTAACCATGACATCTGGCTCGATGACACAACCAGAAGTTTAGAGCTAGTGACATCCAATACATTTGATTCACCTATATTTCCAAGAACATGTAACACATTTATTCAGCATTGTTCAAAATGGTGGAGAACGCAATGATTGACAGAAACCTATTAACTCTTGACCAATATCCTATAAACGCTTGACCAACATCTTATAAACGCTTGACCGATATAGTATAATTGTCGTACCTGGTAGTAGCCATATAAGTTACATTAAATGAACAACACAACAGTCTCCGTGAACTGACCGGAAATACGTTTATGGATTTCTGGTCTACCTATAACTAGAAATTCCGAAATGTGTGTCCTTTCGTTGTCAAAAAAAAAATGTTATCAAACCAAAATGTTTAACGAATATAATTGTCTGTTGAAGTAGTAACGGAACAAAGGCAGTTTAGCCGTTATTTTCGATAATTCATCATATGTCTTAGTTTCATTCAAATTATCCAATATGTTGATTCTTATAGCAAAAGTATTCAAATGTGTGTTTAAAAAGACTATTAAAAGTTCAGATTGGGGAGATTTCTGAACAAGAACCAAATATAAAATGTATATTGGATGATAAAAATGATGTCCAGATTGTTTTGATATAGTAAGAAGGCAGCAGTCACATTTGCCAAAACGGCACTTCATCGCCGTTTATGACGGGGGAAAATATGTCGTGTTATCTATTAATGCGATATATAACACATATGGCTGCAGACAGCTGAACTGCCGTGGCGTCTTGTCTGCTAACACCTCTGTTTTACTGACCTTTATATGAACAATATGTCGCAGAAATACCAAATGTCTTTTTTCCTCAATTCACGAAAGAAGAAATTAGAATTGTCATTGGAAGTTAGCATCCATTCACTGAATCCATATAACCGACGCTGTGAATCCCTGTTTAAGGATCCCTGTACCACTGCCAAAATCTGTCTTCTTTTTGCACATGACAATACATTTCATAAATCATTCATGAGGAGCAGACCATAGCCTGCAGATCTTTTAAGGAAAAATAATAATAAAGACGAAATTAGTGATAGAGAATATTCAATGGGGACGGATAATGATTCGAACCTTAGATCTTCGTGCATGATACTGTCATTTTAACCTTGTCGGTTAAAGCCTAACAATACTATCTTATGTTGATGGTTTGAATGGAAAATGAATGAATTATCAGACAACAAGGAAACTAGTTGAACCGTGTATGTCTTCAGAGAACAAAGATACAAGATGGACATTGTATTGTATCTCCCCCCCCCNCTGTTACACGCTGGTAAGCAACCGCCGACCATGCGGTACTTATAGAAAGTGGCCTACATCGTTACAGCAATAAGCGGACGGATATCGCTCCACACTTGCGACAAACGCAGCTTCATCGCCTTCCGTTTAACCTTGGCACCACGCGGCGATGACCCGACTTATGTCTTTCATCCATTACGACAAGCCGGGTTTTACCGAAGAAGGTCCGTTTCATATAAAAGATGTGATGTACTGAGATCGTACATGTACAAATTGCCGCGACAGACACCGGGGTCTAAGTGGAACGTGTGTTGTACCTTTAGCTTGGACACAAATCGGTGTTCAAGTCGGATATCATCCTGTCATCAATGATTGCGTATCATTCATCGCATCATCAATACATGTATCAGTATAAGTCATCAATTCGTTGTGGCCGAAATAGTTGTGTGTTACATTTCGTCGTGTCATTATGTTAACGTAGCCTCTGCCATGTCATCAATATATGCGTAGCACTAAACTTGTCATCAATATATGCGTAGCACCAAACTTGTCTTCAATATATGCGTAGCACCAAACTTGTCATCAATATAGTAGCACCAAACTTGTCATCAATATATGCGTAACATCCGGTTTTGTCGTCAACATATGCGTAAGTTGGTGGTCGGATGGCGCAGTTGATAACGCACTCGCCTTTAACAAAGACTGTCGGGGTTCGATTACCCGCGCGGACATGAAATGTTATGGGATGATCTGCCCGACCACGTGGATTTACTTCGGATACTCCGGATTTAGCCACATGACTCCAGTGACTTACAATATGACATTGTTCATATATGTATATTTACATTTGCATGGCATTGTCACTATATAGCCTCTTTGAAAGCTGTGTCGTTGATGGGACTTTAATTCCCATGCATCACGAGACACAATTCTTAGCGTATTAATACAACACTGACCGGAACTACAATATCCAATATAAATTAACATGACGGCTGCTGAAATATCGATGGGCATTGTGAGATTTGACAATGCCATTGTAATAAAAAAAACACTTTTATTACAACGAAAACAAGACCAATGTCTGCAATATCGTACAAAATGCACATCGGTTGAAATCACCAATGCCGGCAATGGAAACAATTTTAACGCTAATGCAATTTATCAGAAACATCGTCTGTTACACTGCACTGATCAACAGGGGTTCGTTACAAATGACTGAAATACGCATATTATATAGACCTAATGACACATATGTTACAGACCGATATGACTGATATGAGTCACAGCACACATAAACATTTCAGACATTTGTAACGAACCTGTGCTCCGTCGCAAGATCACTCACTTCAAACACTATATTTCACGCGTCTCGCATCCACCATTCCTCAGTTTCTGACGACATGTCAAATAACGAGGATGTTATAGAATCTACCGACTGTTGTCAGGTTCCCATACAATCAACAAATACATTCACGCATGGATTCTTCACAAAATAAGCAAAGAGAAAAGTTCGAATTAACTTCCAAAAATAACTCCCTCGTGGAGGGCAAGGTCGGATTTACGGTGTTCACTGTATTTGTCCATGCGCGAAATTTGTTCCGGGGAAAAATCGAAACAATTTCAAATCTAACTTTCAGCTCAGAGTTCTATTGATAAACTTAAATCACCCTATAGACATATCATACGTAATTGTATTGATACTGAATTGTGGAATAAAATTGAAGTGTTTGTTAAAATTTCAAAGTACTACTTTGTTTGCCAGTCAGCACGCGACAATATGCTGTTAAAACTATTGAACGAAATTGTGTGGAATGTCGATAAGGCTGGCATTTTTAATTTTAAATATAAATTATAAGTTAAAAAAGAACATAAGAGGCAGAGAAAACGTAAATATAAGTATTGAACTGTTTTTGTATGGTATATATGATCTATTTGAATGACACAGCTTTACAAGCAAACATATCATAATGCGCTAGCGCGCATTATGTTGTTTGCTTGCAAAGCTGTGTCATTCAAATAGATCATAAATACCATACAAAAACAATTCAATGCTTAAATATATATCGCCAATATATTTAGCTGTTGGTAAAATTATCCATTACTAGGAAGAACTATTGGTTCACTCACACGATTACTGATATAATAAGCCACTTGGCAGCGCTTTGTTTTATCGGCTTGTAAGAAAAAGGAATAGAATGGCAAACATTGGCTTCCATATTAGAAATGGACGTTTACCGCGGTGTCTGCTACGAAAATTAATTTTTAAAAACTGCTCAATTTGGATTTGGAACTAATTTACACAATTTGGTATTATAGCTATATAAAAAAGACAATACTGCCATATTGCCGAGTTGTCTGGTCGTTGACGACGCTGTCTTCATATTACATTCAAACCGTCAAAATCAGGCGAAGCGAATGATGTAAAATACGCTGTATGAGGCGGCTACAGGGAAACTTTATTCTGCATCCTTTGCTCTCTGAGTGATGAATCTGTCATATCTGCAAATGAAGTGCCTTGGTGTTAAATAACGTCTACTGTAGCGTGTTAGAATACTTCCAAGGCCACGTAGAAATGGCATCTGATGATCCACTAGACGAATAACTATTTATCGTCAAGTGAATTTTAATTCAAGGTTTCCCGAATTTTCTCAGTCTTTTGTTTTCAAAGCTATACTTCAGAGATTAAAATTTGAAAGGTTCTATCGTCAAATCTTTGGCAATTTCTTTCCTCAAGATAGAATATTCAAATATTTAAGGCTTTTTGTCTGTAAATATGTTTAAAGACGTTTACA